GAGTCTGCATACTCCAGTTAACGATTAATCAATCACTAAATTAGTTGGTAATTATTTCAATAATTGATTTTTCACGATTAATCTAATTGATCACTAGCTTGGCAGATTGTTTTAGACATTCACCAATGCAGTTTAATTATGATTAAATTGCATAGGTGGATTTTATGTAGTCAGGCACGGTAGTGGAAGGATGATGATCTGCTGTCCAACGTTCTTGTTAAAACTCCACACTGCGACCTTGTGTTTGAATGTTTCCACAGCTGCGTTTCCATCTCAGATGTCCACAAAACGTTGTCGATGTTCTGCTAATGTCTGAAAAAAACTATTTTGCAATTGATTGTTTCCATTCATTGAGTCACATTTAAAATCACGTGTGAATACGTTTGTTCATACAGTAAGTCATTAAAAACATGCTACACCGTCATTTTTCTTCCACTTCCTGTCTTCTTTGGCGTCTCAGCCAGTAGTAACATCAGGTTGATCATGTGAATCATATGATCCAAAAAATGTTTCCATTTCTCCATTCATTTGGCGAAATAAACTAACTGCAATGCAGCCTCATCCTTTTTATCAAAAAGTGTGTTTCAATTAAGCCCATTTATTTTCCTAATTCCAATTTGCTCAATTTTACAGTGAGTGGAAATGCAGGCAGTGAAGTGAAGCAATTATGGAAAGAAAAATGGGCCAAAACCACTTAAAAAGGTTGTATAACCTGCTTCTTCTGCTGCTTGGTGAAAGTTGGAAAAACTTGATTCTTTTCACAGAAATCCAGGTGATTCTGATTAAAAATTGTCTAAAATTTTAATATTTAGTATTTATTTGCAGAAACACATAAAACTCCACTTTTCTGCCGACTCCTTTGGTTCTTTTTCCTCTTTTGTCGGATTGTCTGAACTGAAGAGACCTTGCTGTTGGTTCTGTGGGAGGCGGTTGAGTTTCTGTTCTGCTGCTGCGTGTGTGTGTGTGTGTGTGTGTGTGTGTGTGTGTGTGTGTGTGTGTGTTGGGGGGTGGGTTGTAGTTTAGTGGAAAGCTCTCCGCTCATGCAGCCCATTATTTCTCCCATCATGTGTTCTCACTCTTGCTCCCGTTCTCCGTCTCTTCCCCGCAGAACCACACACTGAGTCAGCACGCGCAGTGAGACCGGCGCCCTGCGGGATCCCTCAGCTCAGCCGCGCCCCCGACCCGCAGCCGGCGGGGGACCCCCATCTCCACATCACAGCCAATCAAAGTGTCATTTGCTACTCACATGTAAAAGTGTAACGATCGCGCGACTGGGCGCGGCCATTAGGAGCAGCGGGTGACGGAATATTAATGGGAAATGCTATTAAATAAAGAAAAGGGGGAAAGTGGGAAACTGTAAGAGCGACATGACGGGAGGAGAAGGGCGAACAAAGGTATTGTACGTGCAGCAGTATTTTTTATTGTCCCTGCCAAGCCCTGTCCTCCTGACTCATGCTTTTTATTTTATTTTACAACAAACAGAATAAAAAACACGTTTTTCATTTTCGTTATACTTTCCATAGATTGTAGGAAAAGCTTCACTTTGTTGCGTCTTTGTTTTTGTTATTTTTTGTCCTTTTTTTTGCCTTTTCTTCAGTATTTTATTTGTTGCGGTTAGTAGGTACTCGTGCTGTGTTGTGATTGTTTGCCAGTCGTAATATCCCCGGCCCCGCCCACAAACAACCTTTCCTTTTTATGATTGTTATATATATTTTCTCCCTTTTTGTAATTACTATCAAAAAAAATCATGAAAACAAAAATAAAGTGCAGAAAAACATACAGATCTTTTCTTTCATTTTTCTGCTCTTTTCTTATTTTTATTTGGGATTTCCAGACATGGAGCCTGTTATGGTTATTGTACAAATGATTATCATTGATTTCAGTGCGTCTGGTCAAAGACCGGTTTTTAAATGTGAATTAACCAGATTGCAATAATCTAGTACAGAAAAAAACAAGAAAACAAATAAATAAAAGAGAAATAAAGAACTCCTGTGTGGTGTGAGATTATTTAAGCAGGAATTGCTGCTTTTTTTTTTTTTTTTTTTTTTTTTTTTTTTTTTTTTTGCAGCATTAACCTGAAGTGAGGTTAACAAACACCCAATGACCAAAAGTCCCAAAATATTTACTGAGATTGAGCCAATAAAAATCAGGCAATTCGTTTGATTTTGCTGATTTGCATTTCATTTTAAAAAATTAACTGGAGGAAAATAATGTAGCAAAGATCGTAGGTAAATATTAAATCAAAATGTGTTTTCCTCTTTAAAGGGTGATAATTAGTCAAAAGCTGTGTTTCCATTATAAATGTGTGCAAAACTTTGACGATATCCCACTGTCGAATAAAAACAATCCTGGTTTTTCCATTAAATATGAAACAATTACAATAACACGTGAATAAACACATTCAGCTTCATCATCCTCCAACCGCTTCCTGTCGTCTCTGCCAGTAGTAACATCCTGTTGTTGATCATGTGACTTGTGTGATTAAGAAAAAGTTTCCATTGCAGTTTTATGAAAGACACTAGTTTTGATACAGCTGAAAAATCTCCTCATTCTGGCACAAAAACGATCAAAAACCTTATTTCAAAATTGGCATGTTTTCATTTCTTAAATTTATTTTTGTAATTCCAGTTTTTCGCAATTACATGGTCAATAGAAACCAGGTGCAACATAATTTTAATCCCTTGGGATTAAAGTTGCACAAACAGAAATTACAAAATAATTCTACTTAATAGAAACTCAGCAATTTCTATAAAATGGTTTTGCATAGGATGAGGTGATTTTTTTTTTTTTTTTGGCTGTATTGACAGTTTATCTGGAAAAGCTGCAATGGAAACACTTTCCGCATCATGAGTTCTGTGATCAACAACTGGATGTTACTACTGGCAGAAATGACAAATAAGACAACAGGAAGTGGCAGGAGGAAGAAGTTTTCTAAGATTTATACTATGAACAAACTTATTCACACGTGATTTTAATTGCATTTTTTATGTAATGGAAATTACTAAATTATGTTTTTTGACATTAGCAGAATATCAACAAACTTTTGCGCACATTCATAATGGAAATACAGTTACTGAAAATGTCCCAGGAGATTAAAACAAAAGTTACAGACACGTTACAGGGTAAAAACTCTGAAACCTTCTCCAAGCAGCTTGATACTCCTGTCATTACAGTTGCTGATATTTTTCAGAAGTTTAATATTTTCAGGATTGTAAAGTTGAAGAGAAGAATGATATGGACGGTAGCTAAAGAGCCCAGGCTCCAAGTCGAGGGACATCGCCATCGGATCGAACCGCCGTCATCATTTGAGCCAAAGTGAACTTCACAGCAGACGGCCACGGGACGACGCCACTGTGGAGTTAAACCGTAAAAAAGCGAAAGTGGAAATTGCTGAATATTGACGATGGTGACTTTTGTGCTAAAAAATGCTTCCCATGCAGTTTTGCAAAATAAACCAATTTAGATATGGGAACAAAAAAACACCTCATGCCAGAGCCAAAACTTTTTATTGCAAAACAAGTTTTTTTCTAAATCGGTGTTTCCATTAATTAAATTTATTTTTGAAATGTCGAATTGGTCAATGGAAATGCAGCTAATGATCAATATTTGATGATGGGATTTGACAGGATGTAATGTTTACTGGTTGTTTCATAGCTGGTTATTGTCTGATGTTAGATGCTGAAATATGTTACACAAATAAACCTGACAGTTGGGTTAAAAAGCTAACTATTAAACAATGTTTAAAGATGATTTTTAGAGACACGAATAAAACACTAATGAAGTGGATCCAAGAGGAAAACCCTGAGGAACTACCTGGTGTAAGTCATAGTAACTAAGTCCAGGTTTGGTTTTTCTCAGTGTCTGTTTGCTTTAAGGGCAACATTATGGTGTAAAAAGCAGGAAAACTTGCTGACTGTTGCATTTGAACTCTAAAAGGTACAAACTGTCATGATCCGTGTTTCTGTGTATTTATTTTTAAGGGTTTTCTGTGTTCAGTTTCTGTCCTGTGAGTCTCTGTTGTTCCCCGCTGATTGCTTCCCAGGTGTGTCTAGTTACCTGATTACCCTCCCTGTGTATTTAAACCCACCTGTTGGCTATGACAGTTCGCCTGCTGGCACAGTTGAACTGTTTAGTCCTGTGTCGCCATTAGCTCGTCGTGTCAGTCTTTGTTTAATTCAGTTGCTACTGGTGCTGAGCCTCTGTGTTTCTGCTCTG